CTTATAATCTTATAAGTATTTTATTAGATTTAATATAATTTTTTATATTTAAAACTATAAAAACTATAAAACTATAAAATTACGCTATAATTAATGCTTTAAATATCGTAAAAAAAGTAAAGCTAGTATAAAAATAGCACCTTAGCGCACTTAAAGGAATGTACAAAGATGCAGCTTTTACAGTAGGCCCACTTTTTCTGCGACTTCTAGCTAGTACCTTTTTAAGATAACGTTAGCTATTAAACCTTTTATAATAAAATTATTATAATAGGGACATGTATTCTGCGTTGCATGAATGCAGCATAATTGGATCAGGTTGCCCAGGAGTGAAACTGACCGTTTAGCGCAGACTCGAACTTAAAAGAGATGGCGGTCCCCGTTGATCCACGGTGCCAAGAAAACCTACCCCGCCCCCACACTCAACCATGGCGGACTCAAGCCTCATCGCTTGCCTCTATCCATATGGCGATAAGCATCGTGGCATTGAAAACTCGCGACTCGCGGTTGAAATGAACGAGTCGCGACGCATCAAACCCCTGCGTGAGGACTTTAGTCGGCGTACATCCTTCTCAGCGGAAGATGAAGCCGATGCAGACAACGCCGGTAACGACTACAACGACGGCGGTCACAACCACGACCACGAGGAAGCATCTGACAGCGGCCACGATTACAGTCCGGGATTGCGGTTGGGATTTGACGACGAGCGAAAATTCTCGCACGGGATCGTCATCGGGACAAGCCCACAATGCGACATTGTGTTGCCAAAGAGGGACAGCCTGCGCGGAATCGCTCCCTACCAGTGCACCATCACGTTCGATGAGCAAGGACGACTCATCCTAAAGGATGTGCAGAACCCAGAGGACCAGAGGAGAAGAATGAAAGGCAGAGCCGCCTCCACGCCCGGAACCGCCGTCACGTACGACGGCAAAGGAGGAGAGAAGCGGTGCACCTTCACCTGGATACTCGGCGGCCACGAATTCATTGCGGACAATCAGCCAATCGTCATTGAGCTCCATAAACATCTCAAGTTCCAGATCGTCGTTGCTCGCTATGATATCCATTCCCCGATGTATAAGGAGAACGTCGCTCGATTCCTCTCTGGACCCGCCCAGTCTGTGGATGACCTCTCCCTCAGCCAACTGGGACTCTGGAACATGAGCTCGACAGCGGAGCAAAGCGGGGTGCAAACCCCCAGTGAGCCGCTACCACCTAGCAAAGATGTCATCCTGCTTGAATATGGAGAGCTTGGAAGGGGAGCCTTTGCAGTGGTGATCCGGGTCTGGAACGTCAGTACTGGGGTGGAATATGCTTCTAAGGAGCCTCTTAAAAAGGGGCATTGGGAGGTTTTGAAGGGGGAAATCAATCTCCTAAAAACGATCCACAATGTAAGCGAACGGAGTTGCTGGTCGCGAATATACACTTATGTGCAACTAGGAACACATCGTTAACTGCATTTCCGAGTTTTCGACGACGATGCCGATGCCTCGGTTGGTCCTTGAATATATTCCTCTTGGATCTCTCGAGGACCAACACCAGGAAACCTCCGTCTCGGTCGAGGAGGCGTTTGAAATCCTCTGTCAGGGCCTCTCAGCCTTGAGGTATCTTCATGGCCGCGAAGACCCGATCGTCCACCGCGATATCAAACCGAGCAATATCCTGGTGCAGTCGCGACTTCCGAAGTTGCACATCAAGCTCTCCGACTTTGGCGTCTCCAGAGCGAGCCCAAGTTACCTGAGCACTTACTGCGGTACACCGCTCTATATTGCGCCAGAAGTGTTCGCGGGGGAAAAGTACGACGCGCGTGTCGATGTCTGGTCTCTCGGTATGGTCGTATTTCAGTACGCTCATGGCCTTCCCAATCCCGGTTCGTCGGGTTTTAATGGAGCCACCTGGACCGAGGATGTTGTCCGGGTACTTGAGTCCGGAGCATCATGCTGCCCTCTGCTTGCTTTCCTATCGACGGCCATGCTAGTTCGAGACAGGGAGTCGCGCTATTCCGCCCACCGTTGCTTGGAGATGGTACAACAGCTCGACCCGTCGCAATTCACCTGTTCAACGCCGACATGTACTTCCCATACCTACGACGACGACAAAACAGTGCTTAACGATTCCCCTGATCCACAGGCGGCATTCCAGGCCTTGGATACAGTTACTGACCTTGGTCAGCGCGGCTGTTCTGCAGGCCGCTCTTCTGGTGCGACAGAAGGCAGAAGGCACAGGTCGGGTGCCCCCCCTCCCGACTCCCTCGTGTCCGCTTCTGCCGTGCGTCGGAGGAGCATATCACGGGTCTCGAAACCGAGGGCCTCGGATAGGAAGTCTAAGAAGCGCCGAGAACGCGGCGGCGATGCAGCTGAGGAGGTTGCATACTTCTTTGACAAGTTCTCGAACCCGCTCCATTCTCTCTATGTTGGTTCGTCGCTTGCACAAGGAACAGTCTCCGAGTGGACCAGCGGAACCACGCATGAATCGGGTGCTCCTTTCCAGCGAAGTCTAGCTGAGGCAGTTGCGGATGGGGCTGGCGAGTCGGTCGTGCTACTTGATTGGTACAATGATCCTGCCTGGACGGAACCTCCGCCAGAGCAAAGTGGTGAGAAGCAAGTCTGCCTGCTTGGCAATCTGATGCAGAACTGGGACGAGCCAGGAACTGTCGTGGAGCAGGCAGCACAAGCGGCTGAGGCGGTCGGGTCTCCGCTGAATGGGCCAGCTGCGTCCCGACGAGCGGCGGCATCATCCACGCAGGGCTCGACGTCTAGAGGATCTGCTGTACCGCAGCCGGCATCGAGTGACGGATAATGAACGTGAACTGAAGAGTCTTGAATGAGAATGTATTTGTGAAGATAAGAATTAATGTCGGCGTCATGGGCGCCTCACTGTAGGGGGGTTGAATCGCCCGGCCGTCCACAGGGCAAGGAGCGGCCGCGAAACCTGGGAGGAACGCGCCGAGCTGACCACTCAGGGAACCAACGAAGGAGATGCTCTAGAGAGGTCGTGAGAGCACTTTGGAGGCGCCTAACCAACAAGAGCTCTACGATGCTCTCGGGAGCACGCAGGAGCTGGCTGCTCTTAGGATCCTCCAGGGGCTCCTAGAAGCAGAACGGGACAGCTGGGATGTTGAGATTCGTTAATATTAGGTTATAATACTCCTATATATAATAAAGGGTAACTTAAATAAATACCTTTTACCTAATAATTAAATATACCAGTGCTACCCTCTTAACGCCCTAATATATTTAAAAAAAATAAAAAAAAAATTAAATAAAAGTATTTAATAGTATTATATTTAATTATATTTAAGTAAGAGCGCTAAGCGCTAACCTACACGAATATTAACACGACGCTAAGCTAGAGTAAAATAGGGGTACTTATAGTTAAAGTATTAAAAGTAGTGTAGTTTTATCGTTTTTAATAAAAT